ATATTGTAAATTAAGCTTTTTAAAGTTTCTGGTGGTACTGGGGTTTGAACTCAGGGCCTCATGCCTAGGCAGGCACTCCTCCAGCACTTAAATTAAACATTTAAAATTTGGAAACATATAGATTCACATATAGTTATAAGTAATTTACCCAGCAACCCCCTGTGCTCTGACTTCACTTTCTGGATATGAATTATATTATAATTATATTGGAATTAATTAATTATGATGTTGCTATAGCCAACACCAGAACATCAGCACAAGGACCCCTCTGTACCCTCTGAATAGCCCCACTTTCCTTCTGCCCTTGCCCGCCTAAACCCTTACTAAACACTAACCCATTCTCCATTTCTAAACTTTTGCTACATAAAAAAAATGTGACAAATTGAGTCATGCACTAGGTATGCTTCTGGGAATGGCGATTCTCACTGGAGACCCAGCCCGGTGGCTGTATCAATAATCTGTTCATTTCCGGGTATCTATGTAAGACAATTTGTTTAACCACTCATGAGCTGAAGGACATCTAGGATGTTTCTAGTTTGGGACAATTAAACTAAAGCTATATAAAAACACTCGTTTACTTGGTTTTGTCTGTTTTTCTAGGATCAATGTCCACAAGTGGAGTCACTGAGTCCTGTGGTAAACGCCATGTCTGGCTTGTGTTTTTTTATTAAGTAACTTCTAAACTGTTTTCCAGAGTGGCTATACCACTTAACATTGTCACCAGCATGGGTGGCAGAGTGGCTCTAGTGGAAAGAGTGACTGCCTAGCAAGCATGAGGCCCTGACTTCAAACTCAAGTGCTTTCCAAAAAAAAAAAGTTGTCACCAGGACCTAGTTTCTCAACATCTTCATCCACATTGAGTCTTGTTACTGTTTTTTATTTTAGTCATTTGTGGCTTTCATTTGCATTTCCCTAAAGGCTAACGATGCTGAATGTCTTCTCAGACACTTATCTTCGATCTGTGGGTCCTCCAGACATGTCTTTTTTGCCCACTTTCCCAATTGTATCACGTTGACAGTGCTTTCTAAAGAAAAGTCTGCTTACTTATTTATTTTGGTGGTACGGGGTTTGAACTCAAAAGCCTAGGTCTCCTGTCTGCACTCTGTCTCTTTCTCTTCTTCATGGGGTCTGACTATAGCAGAAGCTTTTAATTTTGATCAAGTCTAGTTTGTCAATTTTCCTTTCGGGACTCATGTTTTTGTGTCAAGTCTAACATTTGCCCTAGATCTTAAAGACTTTCTCCTATTGTTTTACAGTTTTACATTTTACAAAACCCATCTTAAGTTAATAAGCCACTCAGGTAGATTTCCTGTGTGTGTCCAATGTCTGCAGCACCATTTGTTGAAAGGTATCTTTGCCCTGTAGACTTGCCTTTCTCCTCTGTCAAAACTCAGTTCGGTGTATTTGTATGATTCTACTTGTGGATTCCTACTCTGCACCATTGGTTTTGTGTTGGCACCTTCACCAACACTACCACCTTGTTCACCATAGTGCAAATGCCTCTTTAAAGCTGTTTTGGCTACTCTAGTTCCTTTCCCTGTTAGCTACAAAAAGTCCTTCTGGGATTTCAAAAGGAATTATGTAAAAATGATTGACCTGGAGCAGGGTACTGGTGGTTCAAGCCTGTAATCCTAGTTATTTGGGAAGCTGAGATTGGGAGGACTGAAGTTTGAGACCAGTCGAAGCAAAAAGTTCACAGGATCCCATCGCAACCAATAGCTATGTATGGTGGTGCTGGTGCATGCCTGTCATCCCAGCAATGGCCAGGAACTTAAAATAGCAGTCAAACAGTCTAGGTCACTCTGGGTGAAAAGCTAAACCCTATCTCCAAAATAACCAGAACAAAAAGGGCTGGAGGGATGGCTCAAGTGGCAGAGTACCTGCTTAGCAAGCACAAGGTCCTGAGTTCAAACCCCAGGTATGCACTACCTCACCTCCCACCCCCCCAAAAAAAAATCCTACTTATTTGGGAAGGACTAGCATGATTACTAGGTTGTTTTCCACCCTGGGAAATCAGTATGTCTCCCAAGTCATTGATTTTTCCATCTCCATCAGCACTGGGCAGGTTTAGAACACAAGTCCTATATACACTTTGTAAAGCTCACATCTAAGCTTTCATTTTTGGGGAGGAGGGGGCAGATATTATAAATGGCTTTGTATTTTACATTTTAGTTTCTGTATGTTCATTGCTAGTAGACAGAAATACAATTGATTTTTGTATGTTGACAATATATCCTGAAGACTTTGTTCTCATTTTTGGTAGATTTGTTGGATTTTCTATTATTTGTGCCAAAATCATATCATCAGCAAACAGTTTTTTCTTTCCCTCAATTCTGTTGTTTGATTTCATTTTATGGTGTTATGTCTCTGCAGAACTTCTAACACTATGTGGAATATGAGTGGTGTTAGCTGTAGGGATTTTTAGACACTTTTTTCTGTGGTTGAGGGAACTCTCCTCTGTTCTAATGGGAAGTTTTTAGACATGAATGGGTGTGAATCTTGCCACATCTCTGCCACCAGTTTTTGCATTGGTGGATATAATCATGATTTCCCTTCTTAATATGATGGATTTTCAAATGTTGAGCTAGTCTTGCAACCCTGGAATAAATCCTACTTGAGCTGGAAGCAGGTGGTTCACACCTGTAATCCTAGCTACCCAGGAGGCAGAGATTGGGAGGATCATGGTTCAAAGCAAGTCCCTGTAAATAGTTCATGAGACCCTATCTCAAAAAATAAATACCCATCACAAAAAAGGGCTGGTGGGGTGGTTCAAGATGTAGGCCCTGAGTTTAAACCCCACTACCACAAACTAAAAAGCAAAACAAAACTAAAAAAATCCCACTTGACCAGGGTGTATGGTTGGTTTTTCTACATACTAGAGAATTCTATATGCTCTATCTTGTTAATGATTTTGCATCTATACTTAAGAGGAATGTTGATCTGTAGTTTTCTTTCTTCTTTTTGGTGGTACTAGATATCAAACCCAGAGCCTCATACATGCCAGGCAAGTACTCTACCACTGAGCTACACCTCTAGTCCCTGTAGTTTCTTTCTGGGGGGATTAATGAGAAGATAATCAGCTAGGTACAGGTGCTCACACCTGTAATCCTAGCTACTTGGAAGGCTGAGATTGGAAGAATCACAATTTGAAGCCAGCCCAGGCAAATAGTCCTCAAGACCCTACCTCCAAAATAAGCAGAGCAAAAATACACTGGAGGTGTGGCACAAGTGGTAGAGCACCTATTTTGCAAGTGCAAACCCCAGTCCCATTATTAAAAGTAAAAAAATAAAAACAATCTTGAGTTTAAAAAATCTAGAAGACTCATTATTATGACTTTAACATATCTGCTTCTGTATTTGAAAGCCCTACTTTTTCCATGCGGATACTGATTTCCACATAGAAGGCACTTAAGATGGGTGGGCTGCACTGAATTCTACCACATGCTGATGTGCAGCCCCCTTCCCCCAAACACAGCAGCCGGTCTCTGCGGCAGAGACGATGGAGCCAGCATTCGCCACGCCCCCCCTCTGCCCCCATGCTAAGCGTGCCACTTCCCTCAGCTTCCTAGGTCTTTCTCCATTTAAAAGAAGCTTTGCATTTGAGGCTCAGCACTCCAGTCCCAGAGGCCTGCAAACCACAAGCTGCTAGTAAGCTTGGAAGCTCTTTCTGTCCCTGAGCTCACGAGTCCACCTTCAACTATTTGTCCTCCCCACGCTTCTGATCTTGGTGCTGGGCAAAAGGAAAGACTTCAGGCCTGAGGGCCGGTTCTAGCCCAGTCCATCATATATATTCAATTTAGGAGTCAGGTATGGTCACAATAGCTGAGTGGGACAGGAGAAAATATGCCTCTGTTGGCCTTTACCTACATTCTACATGCATAGAAGGATGCACACGGGGCCGTGTAAGTGCAAGTCTGATGCACGAATGGCTGTGGGAACACCCACGCCCCTGCACCTGTAATGCTCATATAGAAAGGCAGCAACATTACCACATTCTTCCCTTATCTTTAAGTCTTTTGCTCTTGCTGGGAAATACAGGGAGTTTAATTGCTAAATACCATAGATAAGTGAAGCATTTATGGTCCTAATCATAAATGAAACTTCGAGAGATAGATGGCTCTTTTATTAAATGACTCACTTACTTGGTTTGCCCTGGACAAAGACAGAGAATGGAGCTGGGTGACATTGCTGCAAATTCTCAGTGGCCGGGGCGGTGAGATTTAAATGCCATTTACTAGAAATCCCTCATTCTCAAGCAATGAATCTGATATCCACGTATGAGGTTCCTCACTGAGGCCAAAAAGCAACTACATAAAGAATCTGCAATTCTAGAGAAGGAATGTTTAAAAATGTACATGGGCCATTAAGGGATTTGTCTCTACCTACCTGAGTTTGGCCAATCCTGGGCTCCCAAGATATCTGGACAATGTCTGTCTCAAAGAAGTGCAGAGTAACTTGCCTGCCCGAACACCTGTCCCTGTTAACACTCGCTCCCCAGGTTGACACAACTTGTCCACTGGGAAACCCGCAGACAAGGACCAAGAGTTTAGGGACAAGAGGAGCCACAGCAGGTGTGCGTGTGAAGGCAGCTGCAATCACAGCCCTAGAGATGCCCACGTAGCAGGTGCACACAGAGAACTTATTTCTCGCTGGGTATCACTTTCTCAGTGATGGAGACACATGCCAGCTCCTCCCTCTAGCTCTGCGCTGGCCAGCAATGCCACCGGGAAGTGAAAGGGCCTGTGCTAAGTCACTAACAGGTACTCCTACAGGATGCCAGGAAGCCACTCAATGTCATGTCGCTACCCACCCTCCACCCCTAATGCATCTATCCTTGCATCCCTGTAAGGGTCCCCACAAGATGCTTCCTCACCCAAGGCTTCTGAACTGGGACACAGACAGAAAGATTTTCACCCAAGAGGACATCTTCAGTGAAAGTGGTTCCCACACAAATGGTACCAGAGCTGCCTGCTTCTTGCCTCACCATGGGGACTTCTTACCATGGCCTCCTTTGTGCAGAGTGGCTGGGCTGCTGAGCGGGGGCTCGGGCGGGCTGAACGGAGGGTAGCGTGGGGGTGTTTTTACTGGAAAACAGAGCACAGCAGGGGCTGCTGTCACTTGCCTCCTTGGGATGGGAAAAGTCGTGCAGAGTTACTTCTACTTCTTTCTTACCATATGGTGTTTCTGGAGACACAGGAAACGCTGGGGTCTGACACATGGACTCCTTGCTATGTAAAATCCTGGCATCGATCATGTCAAGGTCTGGAGGATACGTAGTGATCACTGACTGAAATTGGCATGGAGAGGACAAGGTAAGAATGAGGAGTGAGGGGGAAGGTCCCCTCCACTCAGCTGCAGCATCCTCAGGATGGTCCACTGAGTCAGGCCTCCTTTGAGAAGGGGGACAAGGAAGAAACCAGCCATGGAAACCAGAAAAGACTTTTATGTTTAGTAGAATAAAGGAAGAGGGCAGAATGTCAGGGCCCATTCTCTTAGTCAACGTCATAGAGCTGATAAGTAACACTGATGCAGTCTGCAACAGCAGGGGGATCCGAGAGGTCCCTAACCATGGTGACAGTGAGTCAGACACATAGCAGAGAGAACAGGCTGTGTTTTCATACTTGGAGGTGTTCCAAATATAAACAATGGTTTTGTAAAGACTATGGAGTGACCTTTTTCTTGCTATTCTGTAGGCTTCAGCATTTTCAACTTGAGAATAAATGAAGCTCATATTTGAAAAGGTAAATCCTTTGAGTATGCTGACCTGTCTTAACTCTGATTCTGATTATAGAAGCCTTAATTAACTAACTACAAGTCCCAGAACACAAGTCAGGAGATGCTCTTGTCTGTGAACTTCCTTGGGGGGGTCATAGTCCTGGATGGCAGGTTCAGAGCCCTGTGTGATGGTCTGGAAGAAGTCTATTTGACCTGGCTGTGAGGGCCATCTACCAAGGCCTGCTAAGGCCAGGTGTACATACCCTAGCCCTCACAACCCACCTAGCAGGCTTGGCACCTCATACCCAATCTATAGGTCAGAACACCAAGGCTCAGATGACCCAAACAAGGTGTTCTCTGCATAGTGATCTCTGAGGTGTGTTAGGACCCCACCCAGGCTGTGTGAACTCTGCACCCAACCACACCCTTGCCCATCACTATGAACCATGTCTGTGAGACAGGGGGGCAGGTGGGGTCAGGAGGATTATAGTAGCCTTTTACAGGTTTCAGGCCCAGCCACCACCCTGAGCCCAAGGATAGGACTGTTGGAGGAAATGAGCAGAGATATGGACAGGGCCTGGCACATACCTCTTTGATGTCTGCTTGAGAGGGGAATGGTGCCAGGCTTGGAGCTGGGTCCGCACCAGCTTTTCCCCATCCACACTTTGAGAAAGATATCTGGCCCCCAGCATCATTGTCATACTGTCCAAGACTCAGCTTCCGGAGTCTTCCGCCCAGGGGCTCATCACTGGAACAGCCTATGAAGAGAGAGACAAGGGCACTTTTGTCATAGTAGTACATGGAGACCCATGATAAAAACCCATTTCAACACTTCTTAAAGGCACTGTGTATTTCATCACGAGACTGACGCTCTAAGTAAGCTACAAGGCTGCAGGAAGCAGACTAAAAACCCAGGGGTGACCCAGATGCTCAGTGGTGAGCCAGGTGGCAGCCCCTGGCACACACAGAAAGCCAGCACACTCCTTCCAGAACAGGCCTTGGGGGTCAGGGCAAAATGTGCGACTCACACACAGGGCTGGGTCACCACCGACATGGTTGCCCTTGGAGGGGACATGGTTTTAGAGCTGTGATGACCATGTACCTGCAGTCACTCCAGGCACAGCATGGCCTTAATATGACAATAAGAAATTCCAGCAGGGAAATAACCCTACTCGGAGCACCAGCAGTCAATGCTCACCATCCCAAACATTCCCTGCCAGAAACACCACTGGCATTTATTCATGATACAGATGCAAAATCTGACCTCCTTATTTTAGGAAAAACAGCAGTTGGGGATGGAATCTGTTTTTAAAACTTCTTCCACAAAATTCTTATAATTGGGGAAAGCATAGCTCCCACTAATAAGATGGTAATCTCTCAAATCATGAAAAGTCACACCCCACTACATTTCCCCTACAGTTTAGATTGCAGCTGAAAACACGCAATACTGCTAGATGTAGTGACTCACGCCTGTAATCCCAGCACTTGGAAGGTTGAAGCAGGAGGATCTTGAGTTCCAGGCCAGCCTGGACCACACAGCGTTACCTCTAAGAATAAAGCTTCCTCCCTCCTTCCTTCTCTCCCTCCCTCCTTTCCTTTCTTCCCTCCCCATTCCCCTTGGTACTTTGTGCGGCCTATACTGTGCTGGCCCAAATTCTTGCCTAATTTGCATTAGTACTGGTTCCAATGTTCACCCTAAAACTCATGTTTGGTCAATGAACTTCTTGCTCTGAGTTCACCATGCCCAATGGGTGTGGGAGGGGGTGTTCTGCACTGTATGCTGAGGATGTCTAAGTTATCTATTCACAGAGCAGGACTTTAGCCAGAGATGATAAGAGGGGGGCTCTGTGGGTGTCCACACTCCCTGAAGCATCCAACAGAGGCCATCCACAGGCCTACCAGCTCTATCCTATTTTTCAGGCAAGATAACTCAAAGGTTAGGGTCCACGAAGGCCCAGGGAAGGTAAGAGCCCAAGCCCAGGGGTGCCATGTGGCGCCTACCTCCAGGTAGGTGCCTCATAGCACCAGGGTACAGGCTATGGGCAGCCAAGCCCCAGCTCCAAGGGCCCTGTGGGCAGGAAGGGAGCCAGGAATGCCCAGAAGGCAGTGACATTAGTTTGTGAAAGCTAAGCTCAGCCTTTAGAAAAGGCCACGGTGTCCACAGAAGACGCAGCAATCACAGGACTGCCATACGATGCCGGTGGCAGACGCTCCAGGCCACCTTAACTCATTCACATTCTGTCCCCTGCTAATACCTTCCTACACTCCCACACGCACAGCACTCACGACACATCCCCTCAGATACTCTGACATGATTTTCACGTGGGACAAGCTGACATGGTCATGTAGTAACACACAAATGGTCACCCACACCGTCTCCTACACCCATCCCTGCTCTGGGCTCCTATGCAGCTGCATCCATGATGGTCCCAATGCTGGAGAAGACAGTGTCTCTGTCATCACCCCTACCCTGTTTCTGCAGATCCTCACTCCTGGGTGCTACAAGCTCTCCCCACCTGCACGCCATCTATCAGGGGGCCAGGGTAACAGGCACTCTTGGAAATTAGGTTCCTTCTGGGATAACGAACTCCCCACCATTTGGGGGGATTTCTGGCTGGTTCCAGTGCCAGAGAGATGGGCAGGTGGGGCCCCAGCACCCCGCTTCTCACTGGGAGCTGCGCCTGCCCGGAAACTCACTAGGGTCTATAATGTCCGCACAGGATGGTGTGGGCTAGGCCTTGGTTGTGCACAGACCCTGCATCTTGCACTAGAGGCCCGCATCCAAAGGCGGGTAGGGTTGGGCCCTCCCATGGGATGTGCTGGTATTTCATCCCAGGCCAGTGAAGGCTCAGTCTAGGCCAGGCTGTCTCTCACCAAAGTTACTATAGCACCTCCCAGAGCCACTGTACCCAGGGGGCAGAAGCTGGAACAGTAAAAGAGTTTCCTTCACACTCTGGTGTCTGGGGGCCTGGGAGAAGGCCAGTTGTCACAGGGCTATTTTCTTGGGTGTTTCATTTGCTATATCTGGTGTCCTGCCTAGCAGGTTCGCCTTACCACACAAACTGTGTAAACAGCAAGTACCACCTTATCTCTGCACTGCCACCTCCCTGGGAGGGCTCTCAGTTTCATTTCTGAGCAGCTACCTGCCCCAGTTAGGTGGGGGCAGGGATCAGGGCTTACTCAGCTGGCCCAGGATTAGGAGCTGGCACTGAGTGGTACGCACTTCTTGGTTGTGCCCATTGGAACTCATAGCAGTGAGCCGAATACCCCCCACACCCTGCCACCACCACAACCCTCTCTTCCAAATCAACTTCTTTATAGGTTTTAGTATCCCTCTTTCCTTCCTTCCTCCCTCCCTTCTTTCCTTCCTTCATTTCTTCTTTCCTTCCTCCACTTCTTTCCTTTTCCTTCCCCCTCCCTCCCTTTTTCCATCCTTCCTTCCTTTCTCCCTTCTTTCCTTTCTCTTCCTTCCCCTCCCTCCTTCCTTACTTCTTCCTTTCTCCCCTATTCCTTCCTTTCTCCCCCCACTTTACTTCCTCCCTCCCTCCACTCCTCCCTTCCTTCCTTTCTGATTAGAAAATTTGGAAAACACGTCAAAAGCACTGGAAGCACACCAAGCTCCCTGAAGCCTCAGAGCCTTGCGGACCCTTGGAAGAGTCCCATAGCTTGACAGAGGTATAGCTGGGCCATTTGTCTCTTCTTCTCCAAGAGGCTCAATTCATGAGCATTTCCAGAGGAAAAAGGCAAAAAAAGCTCTTGGGTCCCTAAACTATATCCCCCACGTTAAAGAAATCCCCCACATGTGACATCATGACTTCCTGTCCCCATCTCACTGTTACTACCACCTGCTGCCTCTCTGCTCCCCACATCCAGTCCTCCTCAGGGATGCTCTGGACCTGAAGGGACCACTAGGGGCCTCCCCGCCATTCCCACCCTGTCCTCCAGTTCCAAGTCAGCACAGGGGGGCTGGGGGGCTGCACCAATGCCTGGTGTTTCCTTCTGCACCTGCTGCCTCTCCCACCACCCTTCACACTCCCTGCATGGAGTGAAAAGAAAACAGTCTTCAAGGCTGCTTTACAGACTGCACAGCAAACACCGATGTCAGAGCTCCAGCAGGAACTGGCTGTGACTGAGACAGGGTGATCTGAACAGCAAAATGCTTATTGATCATGATGAAATAGTTAAAAGCTGCTCTCTGAACAGTGCTCCAAATCCACGCCATGAAACTGGCCACAAGTCTTTCTCCTCTTCGGTTACTGAGTCAAAGCCAGGGCAAAGAAAGAGTTCACGAGAGCAGAAAGCCTGGAGACTCTACAATGTGAGGTGACAGTATGGCTGTCACCTCGAGAGAGCCTCCTCAGGGCTCTGAGAAGCCCACACTCCCACCCCAACCTCTCCAAGGTCCCCATTCTGAAAAAAGCAAGGAAAAACAAGGAGATCTAACTTACTGAGGCTCTCGGATCCCTAAGTGTGCTCACCTGCAGCTGTGGAACCTACCTGCACCTGCAGGACATGCTCACACCTGGTGAGGCCCACCTACACCTTCTCACCTGTGCCTGCCAATGGCCCCGGTGCTGGGGAGAGCTGCACCTGCTTCCCTGCTGGCTCCCGGCCAGTGCAAAGAAAACCTGAGCACAGTTACAACGGCCCCAAGTCTTTAGTACAGACATCACAGGCCACTTGGGAGTCCAAGGAGCATAGACCATCGTGACTTGCAATTCTGCCTACTGTCTGTTCCCAGGGCTCTCCTTGCAGCCGGGGAGGGAGGGACATGGAGCAGCTTGGTCTTTTCAGGTTTGTCCTGTCATCTGGGTGACATGATCTGTTATGGCCACATGACAGGACACCTCCCACCTCACTGGCCAGTCCCTCTGTTCAGCATTCAACTGAAGCATCCCCACATGGGTCTCCTTCCTCCCGACTCTGGACACTTCCCTTCAGGAATGTGCCCAGCCTCCACTGTGGCACAGGCCATGTCCCCTACACCCCACCTACAAACCCTCACCGCCCTTCCACAGTCTTCGCACTGTCACTGTTATTCATGGGTGGAACAGGGTCAGAGCAGAGATACATGCTGAGCACTGCCCAGTGTCACCTCAGTCCTCACCAAGCCCATCAGAAGCTGAGACCACCATGGGGCACTGGCAGACTCTGAGCCTCAGAGACAAGGTGAGACTCTGCCACTCAGACGACATGTGGCGATGGGGTCCTGTGATGTGTTGGGGCCAGGCAGCTGCAGGGATGTGTGGGAGTAGGGCAAAGGCAGCCTTGGTCTCAGGTCTACCCAAGCCATGGGGCACCCTGACCAAGGTCACTGGGACAGTGGGGGAGACCAAGACAGGCAAACTCTCCAATTCTTCATCTGAGGTTCCTGGAGAGTTGGGATCCAGACCAGGACTGTTGAGTTCTGCACAAAGAGTTTACAGGACGGACAGAATTCAGCCTAACCCAGGTCGACACTGTTAATCACCAATGTATCACAGAACAGACCCAACTGTGAAAGGGGGTGTTCTCAGACCACTCAGCTAGACAACACTCTTCGATGATGTCACCTGTTCCAGTGCACAGATCTCCCAATTAGGGGAGATCATGGAGGGTGTAACCCCCCTCTGCCCTCTTGCACTGGTCACCTGGAACTGTTGCTTCCATTCAACTATGAGGAAGGAAGGAAGGGAGGGAATGAGGGAAGGAGGGAAGGAGGGGTGGAGGGAGGGAGGGAGGGAGGAAGGAAGGAAGGAAGGAAAGAAGGAAGGAAGGA